AAACAAACAAAAAAGCAGAGGACACAGTCCTTTGTCTTCTGGGATATAAAGTGTGTCTATACTTATAGCTAGTTTTGGTTATAGTGTAACTATAGTCCACAGTTGTGTAACGTCAGGTGATTCCGATTCATACCAATCCTATATGACAGAGCAGAACTACAGTACAGCACTCAAGGAAATAGGTAGAAATTCCAATGGCCCTTCATTTAGGTCAAGAACACAAGCTTTTCATTTAACTGCCTCTGCATACTAATCAGTTGCTATGTCTAGTAACTAAAACACATGGGTTTTCACCCTTCAATGAATTCACAATACATTTCAGCCACTTGATAGGACATACAATCTTAAATTAATCTTTATTCAGCTTTTAACAAAAGCCAAGTTGGATTAACTGATACTTGAGAAAATTTAAGGGGTCAAACAACCCTTCATTCTCCTAGGATTTTAAGCTCTATTTTTATCATAAGAAAGCTATAAATCTACAACAACATTCATTTAGATTTGCACAGAGATATCTTGATTCAATAGCATTTTATTTTTATGCTCTTAGGTTTTATAAACAGTAAGTTATATTAAGAATGTTTCTACATTTTCTATAACATCAGTATTAGAAGATATTTACCATTAAATAGTATGTTGAACTATATGAAATTGCCAATATTCAATTGCTTTCGACTCTTAAAAGGGTAATTTCATATGGTTCACCTTACATTCAATGTTTCTTTATAACGAGCTATATAATTAAAGTCACCTTATAATTTAGCAGAACATTCCTGAATGATGCAAATAGTTTGTGCTCAACTGCTAACCTAACGGTTATCAGTTCTAACACATCCAGCAGTATGGCAGAAGATAGGCCTAGCAATCTGCTTCCATTAAGGTTACAGCCAAGAAAACCCCAAGGAACAGTTCTACTCTGTAACACATGGAAATGCCATCAGTTGGAATTGACTCAACAGCAACTAACAACAACAACAACGTAATTTAGCCGCAAGAAAAATTTTATCTCGTATGAAAGTAATAATGGCTCCCCTCACTGCCAAAGATAAGAATGAGACTGTGCTGGAGGCTTTCCTTTTATTTTAGCTGTCAAGAAACTCAGTGCTGCCATGCTCAACTGTGATACTTCTCTTAAGCTAGATTTTGTTATAATTATCTGTGTGTTTCCTCTTTGATCTTTTTACTTGTATCGATGTAATATATGTTTTCCTGAAAGTGAGCACTGTATCAATAATAAATAACATATAAATAACTGGTTACCTATAGTACTATTCTGCTTGAATTTTGTAGAGGAAAAATACCAAGATCAACCCATAATATTTTATATGGATACAGGGAGAGGAAAAGGTTATATACTACATATTTCTAGGCCTATACAATGTCTAAAGTGCTCAAGGTTTGTTTTAATGATGGAGTTGAAGATTAGTTATGAAAGTCACTCTCTAAGAGATGCGATCCAAACTGAATTTAGAAATGAGAGGCATTAATTTATAGAAAGGGTAAAGGTACTCCTTCCAGAGGCAGTGAAAATAGAAAATAGACAATGAGATAAAAAAGAAAACATTTATTTATTTGTAAATATTTGAATGCACATTAGATTAGTTTAAGGTTAAATGAAAAAAGAAGGTAGAGAGATGAGTGAACCATGGCAGTTTTTGAGCAGGAGAGTGAAATGATGAAGACGGTGTATAAATGATGAAAATGAATGGAATCAAGTAATTTTTTTAAGACTAGAAGAGACCTAAAAATTAGTCTTGAACCACTACTGTAGTAATAATTTGTTCAGGCAAGAAGCAATGGTGAAAGCTAATAACACTGGGTAAAAAGATTACTGGTCAAAAAGCTATTCACATGGTCTCAAAGATAATATTCCACAGACTACTTATCAGTTACAAAAAGAAAAACGTTATCTTCTCATGACCTTATAATCAAATTTAATCTTATGATCAAACTTAAAATCACCAATAATGGTCTAAACTGTTATCATGTGATTCCTTACATCATGTACTTGCATAGTAAAGAATTTGGATTTGCTCAGAGAGATTTGGCTTTGTCTCTGGCTTCTAGGAGGTAATCTATATCATATCTGATAGGAGTCTCTCTGTGGCTGGCCACAGTGGATCACAGGGCACTCTTAGGGCGGAGGCTAGCCATGTCAGAAAAACCAACCACATGATTTAAGATGGGAGCTCTGAGTCACATGGAACCAGGTGAACTGGAGATTGAGTTCAACCACATGAGCAATTAACCAATCAGTCATGTCTACCTAATGAAGCCCCAATAACAACTCTGGACACAGAAGCTCAAGAAGCTTCCTTGGTTGACAATATTCTGTGTTTACTGTGACACACTGATTCCATCAGAGTAACGCAACTTGAGGAAAATATAACCATCATGTTTGAAACCCTCCCAGACTCTGTTCTAAGAATTTTTTCCTTTGGTTTATTTTGATTTGTATCCTTCCCCATAACAATGATTGTGAGTATAATAGCTATCAGTGAGTCCTTCTAGAGAATTACTGAACCTGAGATTGGTTTTGGGGACCCCCAAACTTGCAGTTAGTGTCAGAAATTCAGTCATATAGTTATATACTTGTGGACTGTGCCTTCAAACTTCAGAGTCTGGCTAATCCCAGGTTGATGCAAGGAGGACATACCACCTGTGTAATATTAACACTAAAAAATGTTTTACCTAAATCTGATCATGAGGAAACAACCAGAAATATTCAATTAAGGGACAATCTTCTAAACAACTGGCCTTAATTCTCTCTCTTTTTTTTAAAAAAAAAATTTTATTGTGATGTGGGTGAGTTTACAGAGCAAATTCATTTTCCATACAGCAGTCCATACACATTTTGTCTCATGACATTGACTTTTGCAAAAAAATATGGAACACTTTATGAATTTGTGTGTCATCCTTACGCAGGGGCCATGTTAATCTTCTCTGTATCGTTCCAATTTTAGTATATGTGCTATTGAAGTAAACACTGACCTTAATTCTTTAAAAATTTCAACGTCATAAAAGAAAAACAGGGAAACTTTGTTCTACATTAAATGAGCCATAACAACCATATGTAACAAATGATGCTTTATTGGATCCTGGTTTGGCATAAAAGACAGCTTTAAAGTATACTGGAACAAGTGGAAAAATTTGAAAATGGCTGCATTTTAGCTAACAGTACTGTTGTATCAATGTTAGGTTTCCCAGGTGTGATAACTATATTATGATTATGGAGGAGAATGCCCTTTCCTTGAAAGCTATATGCTGAAGTATCAAGATGCTGATGAATAACTTCCAAATTGTTTAGCAGAAAAATGAATTAAAAATAAAATAGTAAACCTATGTGCATGTGTGTGTGTGTTGTGTGTGTGTAGTGAGAAAGAGATAAAGGAAATGAGGCAAAAAGTAACAACTGATAAATCCAGGGGAAGATTATACAAATATTAATTGTACTCTCCTTACATATTTTCTTAAATTTTGAAATTAAAAATAAAAAAAGAATGTATCTTGCATAATTTGGGTCAAATTTCACAGTTTATAGGTATGCAAACTGAAAAGTTTTTCTGACATGTCCATCAGCTAGGTTGTATGTAGCAAGTGTATAACTTCAAGTTCAGTGCTTACTCAACTACCTTACACAGTCTCTGAGAAATAATCACACAAGATAAATAAGAACAAGGAATGACTAGAATGAGGGAACTGGCTATCAAGCATATGTTCTAAACCATCCTAGTAATAATAAAGGTCTGGATTAGGGTCAAATGTAGATATAGAAATGAGGGGAAAAATAAACAATATAATAAAAGATTCAGCAATATGTTACTAGGAGAAAATAGTATGATGTACAAGGAAAATGGATAAGCTGAAAAGATGAGAAATAATAAATAATACCAAAGATAATAATTTAAAAAAACAGAATAAAGTGGCCATTTAGAATAAGAGTGAATTTGAGGTATATATTTTAATTGTAATATATTAGAATGCAAACTAGAAGTATATTAGAAGGTAAACTCTAAGAGCATAGGAGTGTTTGTCTTTTTTGCCTACTGATACATCCCAAGTACCCTGAACAGTGCATGGCACTTAGTACATATTCAATAAATATTTGTTGAACAATAAACTGTTTATAAGAAATTTAGGTGCAGAGATAGAGGAAATATAAATATGAAATTTACAGAAGGTAGAGAGAGATATGTACTTTTTAGATATTTAGGGAAGTAGATATATTCAAGCCTAGTCTAGAGACCTCTGCCTAAGGTCTTGAGTATAAGCTCAAAATATAAAGTTTTCTTTTCTTTTCCATTGTTCCCTTTATATATATCTCTATGGGAAACCTCACTGGGAAGATAGTGGTCATATACCATCTAGCATCCCATGACAACTAGATTATTCCAAAGAGATTTTACTACATAGGGCACAGTGCTCAAGATTTGGTCCCAGGATCAGCATCATCAGCATCACCTAGGAGCTTGTCAGAAATGCAAATTCTCAGGCTTTATCTCAGACCTGTTGAGTCCAAAAATTTGGGGATATAGCCCAGTAATTTGTGTTTTAAAAAAGCTGATGCATGCTGAAGAGCTAATAAGGACAAAATAATTTAAAGGTACTAAATTTTTATTAGGAGCTCTGGTAGCGTAGTACCTAAGGCACTTGACTGCTAACCAGAAGGCTGGCGGTTCAAACCCACCAGCCACTCCTCGGAAGGAAGGTGGGGCAATCCTACTTCCGTAGTGATACTGCCTTGGAAACCCAAGGAGGGGTCGCTATGAGTAGGTTCTGACTCCACGGCATATAACAACAACAACAAATTTTTATTTGATAAAATACCTACCTCATATTCTAAGTTATTCCTCTTTAAGTGTAGTTAAAAATTTAAGACTCAAATACATGAAAAGATATTTGAAATAAAACTTAATGTATCAAATAGTAATTTATCATGTAGTGATAATATAGCAAAACTAGCCTACAATAAAAAATAAATTAAAATGGCATATACTTACTTTAATGTTTCAGCAAGAAAGAAGCTCTGCTGTACATCATCATGGGTGGGAGTGGAGGAATATACATCCTTGACCCCAGAAAATCCACCACTCACTCGGCAATACTTTTCAATAGCCTGTGAAAGAGATCAAATAAAAAAATCAATTCCACAGAATTTCAAGATTTGGAGAATATCATTATTTTTCACCTATAACACACCCACCTAAATGATGCACATATACATTTAACACACATACAATGCAAACAGCACACATAGGAAGCTAATGCACAAGGGGTTGCACACCTTGCAAAAAAAAAATCTGTATAACATATGCATTGTTTGTGTAAAAACACTGAGTTAAGAAAGCACAGTCAAAACTTCACAGAGATCTGTATGAGAATCTATGTTTTAAGAATAAGATTTACTATCATATGGAAATATACTCCTACTGGAAAAGTTAACTGAAGCATCCTGATTCCTGTGGAATGTCTCCCTCTCCCAAACTCTAATCTTTTAAAGACAACTCTATTTTCCTAACTTAGAAGTCAAACTCAGGCTATACTCACTGAATTACACAGACCTTTAGGGTACAGTCAAGCCTCACAATCTAAAAAATCAAGATGAAGGTCAGTTTGAATTAAAAATTAAAAACTCAACTTCATAAATTCCAAGGGCAAGCAATAATGCAAACATGCTAAAAACATATTACTTAGTAGCTCTCCATAGTAATAACAATAAAAGATAATATTTACTGTAAATAAGCTGAATGTCAGACGTTGTGTTATCAGAATTCTATGAACTAGGCCTTACAGGTGTTATCAATTGAGAGGAAGCGTCCACTCATACATCTCTATAATAATAATTACAATATTAAGAGCTAACAATTATGAAGTGCTTACTATGTGCTGAAGGCTGTTTCCAGGAGCTTTAAATGCATTAAGTCATTTAAATTTCACAACTACTTTATGAGGTAAATACTCTTCATATTTTCACTTTACATATGAGAAAGCTGAGGCATAGAATAATTTGCTCTATATTATTACCTACTATGTTCTACTGATGGAGCTCCGGTGGCCGTAGTGACTAAGGCACTTGACTGCTAACCAGAAAGCTGGTGGTTCAAACCCACCAGCCACTCCTCAGAAGGAAGGTTGGACAATCTACTTCCATTGTGATACCACCTTGGAAACCCAAGGAGGGGTCGCTATGAGTCAGGTGCGACTCAACGGTACATAACAACAACAACAACAACATGTTATACTGATACATTAATTTGTTATCTCTTTTTGCATCTTTGAACAAACTTAAATGAAATAAAATACATTCAATTAAATGGCATCTATTCATAATCCTACGGTTCAAAACAACCAATATACTGCTTACACAGGTATATCATGCTCCAGAATTAAGCCATTAATGAAAAGTTGAAAGCACATGTGTTCTCTACCCAATCCTGAGATGTTGTTGTTGTTGTTGTTGTTAAGTGCCGTCGAGTCGTTTCCGACTCATAGCGACCCCATGCACAGCAGAACGAAACACTGCCCGATCCCGCGCC